CAGCATAACTCCGCGGTTGATCATGGCGAGATTATGTCGCTTTGAAACGACATATCTCCGCCGGACTAAGAACAGCATAACTCCGCGGTTGATCATGGCGAGATTATGTCGCTTTGAAACGACATATCTCCGCCGGTCTAAGAACAGCATAACTCCGCGGTTGATCATGGCGAGATTATGTCGCTTTGAAACGACATATCTCCGCCGGTCTAAGAACAGCATAACTCCGCGGTTGATCATGGCGAGATTATGTCGCTTTGAAACGACATATCTCCGCCGGTCTAAGAACAGCATAACTCCGCGGTTGATCATGGCGAGATTATGTCGCTTTGAAACGACATATCTCCGCCGGTCTAAGAACAACTCCGCTGTTGATCATGGCGAGATTATGTCGCTTTGAAACGACATATCTCCGCCGGACTAAGAACAGCATAACTCCGCGGTTGATCATGGCGAGATTATGTCGCTTTGAAACGACATATCTCCGCCGGTCTAAGAACAGCATAACTCCGCGGTTGATCATGGCGAGATTATGTCGCTTTGAAACGACATATCTCCGCCGGTCTAAGAACAGCATAACTCCGCGGTTGATTATGGCGAGATTATGTCGCTTTGAAACGACATATCTCCGCCGGTCTAAGAACAACTCCGCTTTTGATCATGGCGAGATTATGTCGCTTTATTACGACATATCTCCATCCGCGTTTGATCATGGCGAGATTATGTCGCTTTGAAACGACATATCTCCGCCGGTCTAAGAAAAATATAACTCCACCGATGATCATGGCGAGATTATGTCGCTTTGAAACGACATATCTCCGCCGGTCTAAGAACAACTCCTCGGTTGATCATGGCGAGATTATGTCGCGTTGAAACGACATATCTCCGCCGGTCTAAGAACAACATAACTCCGATTTTGAAACGACTTTTATGGTTGGCCCAAAAGTATGCAGTAGAAGAGCTACTCTAATAGGATCAACGGCGATCATGGCGAGATTATGTCGCTTTGAAACGACATATCTCCGCCGGTCTAAGAACAATATAACTCCACCGATGATCATGGCGAGATTATGTCGCTTTGAAACGACATATCTCCGCCGGTCTAAGAACAATATAACTCCACCGATGATCATGGCGAGATTATGTCGCTTTGAAACGACATATCTCCGCCGGTCTAAGAACAGCATAACTCCGCGGTTGATCATGGCGAGATTATGTCGCTTTGAAACGACATATCTCCGCCGGTCTAAGAACAGCATAACTCCGCGGTTGATCATGGCGAGATTATGTCGCTTTGAAACGATATATCTCCGCCGGTCTAAGAACAGCATAACTCCGCGGTTGATCATGGCGAGATTATGTCGCATTGAAACGACATATCTCCGCCGGTCTAAAAACAACATAACTCCAACGATGATCATGGCGAGATTATGTCGCTTTGATACGACATATCTCCATCCGCGGTTGATCATGGCGAGATTATGTCGCTTTGAAACGACATATCTCCGCCGTTTCAAGAACAACATAGCAACAAATCGGTTCAAAAAATTTGTTGACCAAAATCCGAATCGTTTGTAAAGTACACCTTTTTTGCTGATTTTCGTAATATATCGGCCGAAAATAGTCCGATTATATTAGGTTTTGTTTACTTTTTGAACGACGACTTTTTTTTAATATATTAAATATTATTTATTTCAGGTAAATACAGTCACAACTTGGCAAAAGGAAGGCAGGAGGAAAAAGACTGGAAGATACCAGACAGAGCTTACTTGGGCAACGCCGGATAATACCCGCTAAGTGTAGATACATCAAATAAAAACTAAATATGCAAGTGCTGTAAAACATGTATTTTTTTTAATAACTGTATAAATATTAATCAAGCAATCATAATTCGATGTTATGAAACAAAATAAATATATTGAAACTTAATAAATGCTGTTGTTTTTTCTTGTGAGGAATTTTTAAGGCAGTTTATTCGTTTTGAAAGGACATATCTCCGCCGGTCTAAGAACAGCATAACTCCGCCGGTCTAAGAACAACATAACTCCGATTTTGAAACGACTTTTATGGGCGGCCCAAAAGTATGCAGTAGAAGAGCTACTCTAATAGGATCAACGGCGATCATGGCGAGATTATGTCGCTTTGAAACGACATATCTCCATCCGCTGTTGATCATGGCGAGATTATGTCGCTTTGAAACGACATATCTCCGCCGGTCTAAGAACAACTCCGCTGTTGATCATGGCGAGATTATGTCGCTTTGAAACGACATATCTCCGCCGGTCTAAGAACAACTCCGCTGTTGATCATGGCGAGATTATGTCGCTTTGTAACGACATATCTCCGCCGGTCTAAGAACAACTCCGCTTTTGATCATGGCGAGATTATGTCGCTTTATTACGACATATCTCCATCCGCGTTTGATCATGGCGAGATTATGTCGCTTTGAAACGACATATCTCCGCCGGTCTAAGAACAACATAACTCCGATTTTGAAACAATTTTTATGGGCGGCCCAAAAGTATGCAGTAGAAAGGCTACTCTAATAGGATCAACCGCGATCATGGCGAGATTATGTCGCTTTGAAACGACATATCTCCGCCGGTCTAAGAACAACTCCGCTGTTGATCATGGCGAGATTATGTCGCTTTGAAACGACATATCTCCGCCGTTTCAAGAACAACATAATTCCGCCGTCGCTTTGAAACGAAATATCTCCACCACCGTTATATGTCGTTTCAAAGCGACATAATCTCGCCAAGATCAACGGCGGAGTTATACTGTTCTTAGACCGGCGGAGATATGTCGTTTCAAAACGAATTATCTGCCCAAAAAAGTCCTCACAATAAAAAACAACAGCGTTTATTAATTTTCAATATATTTATTTTGTTTCACAACATCGTATTATCATTGCTTAATTGCATATTTAGTTTTTATTTGATGTATCTACACTTAGCGGGTATTATCCGGCGTTGCCCAAGTAAGCTTTGTCTGGTCTTTTCCAGTCTTTTTCCTCCTGCCTTCCTTTTGCCAAGTTGTGACTGTATTTACCTGAAATAAATAATATTTAATATATTAAAAAAAAGTCGTCGTTCAAAAAGTAGACACAACCTAATGTAATCGGACAATTTATGGCCGAGATATTACAAAAAGTCAGCAAAAAAGATGTACTTTACAAACGATTCGGTTTTTGGTCACAACTTTTTTGAACCGACCGATTTGTAGTTTGAATGCCATTTGATAGTAGGGACCCGTACGAATTAAAAAAGGTATAACATATAAAAATCAGACGTTAGATACCCGAGATTTGCAAAAAAAAGTCATGAACTTGTCTCATCAGACAATATTTACCCGAAATATTCAAAAAAAATCATGAAAAAAGTTTCAATTTTCGAATCGAATTGAAAAGAAATGTGACTACCAATCGATAGTACTGATCCTCAAGAGTCTATAATCAACGGCGGAGTTATGTCGATTTCAAACATTCATATGTACATTTTTTGTTTCTAAAACGGCGAAGTTACATACTTACTTTTGTTTGTAAGTCGCTGTAACTGTAAAAATGTACATAGGTATTTTCTTGTGTGCTATTTGGCTACTGCAGATACATATGTGCATACATATATGTATGCCCGAGCCATACATATGTATGTATGTGTGAATGTACATACACACATGTCTTTTTCCATCTCAATTCCTTTTCTATTTGTACAATATTACATGCATACATACATATGTATGTCTCCGTCTGCCTTTCCTTTTCGTGTTTGTCGCCAGATTTATTGAACAGTGGTTAATAATGTATATGGCAGAAAATTAAAGATTAAAGTCAGATTTAGATTTTTAAAATTACGTTTTAACATTTTTAATAATGTGAAAAACAAATATAATATTTAATAAAGCGCTTGGCATATTACTAAGAAACACATAAACAGATAATCTGTATAAATGTTTCAACTCAAATAATTTGATGACCACTGTATTTGTATATTAAGCTGTCCGTTATTCTTCGTTTTCGGCATCTCTTCTTTTATTCTCGGCTGTTTCCTAAATTTTAAATGTACCTGGTGACATTTTTAGCCTATTAATGAAATAATAAATAAATAATGAAATATGTATAAAATGTTTAAGTGACAATTAAGGCAAGACTATGCATTAAAATATAATAAAGTTATTCTGTGTTGGACCCGAAGAAAAAGAAAAAACGGCATAATAAAACGAGAAAGAAGGGCTATCTTCGGCACGCCGAACATCTAATACCCTTGCAGACCCAAGCTTTTCATAATGCTCATAGTGCTTTGAAGTACCGGGAAAATAGTAAAGGCCGTGGTTGGTCAAGATATCCTGATAACCAAAAAAGGTTTTTAATCAAAAACCTGGTTTTCGACCGATTGTTCCTATGGCAGCTATATGATATAGTGGTCCGATGTTAGATATATGAGGAGCATAGTTGAACTAATAAATGCCGAGTTTGGTCAAGATTTCTTGAAAAACAAAATGTTTTTCATACAAGAATCTACTTTTCGACCGATCGTACCTATGGCAGCTATATGATATAGTGGTCCGATCTTAATAGGATTTTGCCTATATATGAAGAATATAGTAAAACTAATAAATGCCGAGTTTGGTCAAGATATCGTGATAAACAAAAAATTGTTTCATACACCTTAATTTTTGACCGAGCGTTCCTATGACAGCTATATAATATAGTGGTCCGATCCAGCTGGATTTAACATAGTTTCATTAAGATAACTTTAAAACTGAGAGACTAGTTTGCATAGAAACAGACAGACGGACAGACGGACATAGCTATATCGACTCGGCTGCTGATGCTGATCAAGAATATATATACTATATGGGGTCGGAGATGTCTCCTTCTATGCGTAACACATTTCACGACAAAATTAGAATACCCTCTGCAAGGGTATATAATATGTACATCGATAATTTCTGTGTATTAGTCAAATTGTTGCTTGAATGCTGCAGTGCACTGATCTGCGTTTATGCTTGACATCATTTGATTTCGCTTGCTCAAACTGTGCAGATAATTGTGTGACAAAACATGAATTTCTCAAATATTGATTTTGAATTTAAAGAAGGAAGTCGTGCAGGCTGCTCATTATTGTTGTTCACTATCAATGAGCAACAAATTTATGTTAAAAACAAGTTGTTAAAGCAAGGTGACACGACATACGTCTGCCGTGTCGCTGGCTGTCAAGCCAGAGTGTATTTAAGCGCGGATAAGTCTCGCGTTTATTCCAAATTGGAAAATATGCTGCATAACCATGGTCCGCAGGGCCATGAAATGGATAAAATCAGTGCCTTAAGTGAAATTAAAAAGAATTTGCAAAATAATAAAAATACCGGCCTCAAAAAATTATTCACCTATGTGCTCGCTGAGTAAGTACAAATTATATTGAAATTTTAATTAGTGGGAGACATGCGTACTTAGTATGTACATACATACCATAAATAAAAGCATGGACAAAATTTCCTATAAAAATGTATATTACATATTTATATATGTATATATGTATATTTGTATATATGTATATATGTATATATGTATATATGTATATATGTATATATGTATATATGTATATATGTATATATGTATATATGTATATATGTATATATGTATATATGTATATATGTATATATGTATATATGTATATATGTATATATGAATATATGTACATATATATTAGCTTCTCTCTACTTTGCATTTTTAGGCGCGCAAATGTGTATTTTGTCTGGTAGCTGCGTTAAGGCTGCAACTTTAAATATTTTAATTAATCAAAAAGATTGCCATAAAATCAATTAAATTCTTTGTTTGTGCCCTTAATATACTTTCAAATAAAGTAAGGTTGCAGCTTTACCTCATTTTTGCTGTGACATATTTTAATTAACTACACTCTATTTTTTGTCTAATCAATTAGGAAAACTAAAGGAGAAAGGCAGATTAAACTAAACTACGACACTGTTAAGCGCACTCTGCAAAGAAAGAGGCAGGTCTTCTTGCCAATATCCCCAACTTCTCCACAGGCCGTCCGTTTAGCTTATGAAAAGGCAAATGTCATGTGCACTTATGGCATGACCAAGGGAAATACTCCAAAACAGTTTTTCAAAAATGTGTACTTATCGAGCTCATTCGCGTACTGCATATTTTCTTCAGACGAGATAATCGCGTTGATGCAATCTCATATTCCGGAGCATAATAGGCATTTTTTAACTGATGCCACATTCAAAGTACGCCCGCTCGGGGACTTTAAGGAGTTCTTAATAATCTACATTAAATACATGCAGAAGGTAACTTAACTTTTTTTTTTTTGTTTAATTTAATGTATTAATCAATATTTTATTATTTGGATAACCCCATTTATATTTGTTTTGATGACGCAAAAAACGGAGCTCTGCTATCAGCATTTGTTTACATATATTGAGTCCAACATTTGCTCCTTAAATGGTGCATCATTTATTTGCGATTATGAAAACGCGATGCGCAACCCCTTGAAAAAGTTGCATCCCAACATGAATTATTATGCCTCGTGGTTCCATTTTACACAAGCATGCAGAGAAAATGCAAATAAATCAACTGGTTTAGAAAATATGCTCAAAAGCAATAAACAACTGCTTTTGATGTTTATGAAATTTCTGCATTTACCGCTCTTGCCAGAGAATAGGATTGTCGGAGGCTTCAATTTACTGCAATGTCAAGCAAATGCTTTATACACGGATTTGTTTTCTCCGTTTTTGGTATATTTTGAGAAACAGTGGCTGCAGGAGGTATTTTTTATGTCGAATTTGATTTCTGTTTTAAACTTTTTCCATTTATTTTAATTTTAAATCATTTATCATTTAGGTAGGACCTAAAAACATATCGGTGTTTAAACGTTCAACTAGAACCACGGGCTCTGTCAAGGCATACAATTTGAAATTGGGCAACAAACTTCGAGCAAAAGGTAATTTTTTTAAATTCGTCCAATGCCTTATTGATGCTGAATATGAAAAAGGTCGCGAATTCGCTCTACTTTTTCAAAAGGGTGTTATTGGCAATCAGCCATCGACGCAGCAACTACATGTAAGTTGGCTGAAAATTTAATATAAATTACATACATGTTTAAACTTTCTCTTTTGTTATCAGGACCGCTCTCAGAAGATCATGGATGCCATGATTCTTTTTGAAATGGGTAAAATTGATATACAGGGCTTTTTGTCTCGCACTGTTTCGATAAATGAGCGATTTTCAAGGCAGGACTTGGATGATGAATCAAATATTTCCGAAAGTTCGTCTGAAATGAAATCTTCCACAACGTCACTTTCCACGAATGTTTCAAATTTAAGACAAATGTCTGATATTATTCAAATGAATCCATGCATTGTTTGCTTACGAAACCCAAAGACAGTTTTATTGCGCCCATGCAATCATTTAAATATTTGTGGCACCTGTTGGGACCAACTTGTTGCCTACAATAAATTAAGCAATGATTCAATGAAATTAAATGAAAATACTAAACCTAAGTGTCCAGCCTGTAAAGAAGAAATCGAAGAGGTAATATGTAATGTTTTTATATACAACTAAGAAAATGTAGCATCAACACCTGGTAGTGGCAAACAGTCAATAAAAATATAAATTAATAAATATAAAATAATGTTGAAATGTTTTTGTTTTTACTCTGGTAAAATTAAACAATTGTATAATAATTAAAAACAAGCGATAGCGCTGGAATCACCAGATTATCAGTTTCAAATGAAAACATAATAACTGCGAACGTAGTTACTTGCATATAAACGTTTACTAATGCATTCATGCATACAGACATATGTATATATATGTATTAAGCATTATTTATTTCAGGTAAATACAGTCACAACTTGGCAAAAGGGAGGCTGAAGAAAAAAGACTGGAAAAGACCAGACAAAGCTTACTTGGGCAACGCCGGATAATACCCGCTAATACATATACATCGAATAAAAACTAAATATGCAATTAAGCAATGATAATACGATGTTATGAAAGAAAATAAATATATTGAAAATTCATAAATTGTGATGTTTTTCTTATGAGGAATTTTTTGAGCAGTTAAAGTAAGTAATTTGAAGGATTTAATGACAAATCCCAGCTGAAATACAAGAGGAACAGTCTAAGGGCGAGATAGATTGGCCGTTGATCGTCGTACGAAAGAGATATCGGCGGAATTATATATTTATATAGGTAAACATTCAAACTAGATACAATTTTTAACGTCAATTTGTTGATTTTAAATGTTTGAACTGCTTGTTTTTTTGTGAGCAGCAGTCGTGCGCGCACTGCTTACTGACTGTGCTTTCACCGTTTCGCAACCAATCATAGATGGCGCCACAAGACCAACGGAAATTTCTAAAAATTATTTTTCAATGCAATTTCTAAAAGACGTTTAGAAAACGCCCACGCTTTCCGAGATCGGGCCATTTAAAACAGTAAAAATGACAAGGGACCGTGGAGCAAGCTTTTTTTTTAAAGCAACACATAGCGTGTACTGCTTAAAAGAAGCTTCGTAATTCGAACAAAAGAAGGCGTGTGCAAGGGAAAAATCGATGCCGTTATAATTTTTGAGTTTTTCGTTTTTTTCGACAATTATACGAAAAATGCTTAGATTTTGGGAAGATGTGCCATTTTGAAGCCCTGCTATCAATTGGCATTCAAACAAAAAAATAAAAAAATCGATGGAAAAAAATTTTAAAAATTTAAGTTTTAGCTGAAAATTGAAAAACTTTTGCAAAAATAACATTTTCTATGCATAAATGAGAGCTCCGTTTAAGTAAATTGACAGTAAAATAATTGTATTATGCTGCATGTTGCGCATTTGTGTGATTGCAGCCTTTTTTGTCAAAGCTATCTCTCTACTATAGAAATATTGCTGTAAAAGTAGCTTTTATATTTTAAATTAAATCGAATATAGGTTGTTTCCATTTAAAAGGGTACTTTCCCATGCATTAATCAAATGAAATAAATTGCTGGCAAATGGATTGCAACGTTGCAATTGCCTTGAAATAAATAAACAAGCCCGAGCCCGAGTTCCCACCCCTGACACGACATTTCATATTTTAGGCACTGTCCCTATTTAAGTTATTTCCCCCGACAGTTTACCAAAGCGTACCCCTAGTTTATGCTCGCATTTGAAAGCATTTTCAGCGAGATTTTTTCAAGATATTGTGCGTGTGATAAGCACACAGTGTAATTGCCAGCAATTATCATTGTGTGCACATGCATAGGGAGGCCAGCTCCTGGAGGTAAACATACATTGTGGCAGATATATATGTACATATATATAAATATATATATATATGCGATACACTATTTGTATACTATGTTTGGGCAAGTGACACGCCCCGCTGGGGGCAGCGTGCTTGCATTTTAATTGCCCGCGGCGTTAATCAATTATAATTTATTCATTATTTTATATCATTCGACGGACGACTAGACTACACTACACTTGCCACATACGTGGATGTGGCATGTGTGGCACTTGCTGGAGGTACTACCTATACGCATTTTTTCGTACTTCCCTGCAGTTTGTTCCTGTCAATTATGTGTCATTATGCTCCTTTGTTTGCGCTGCATTTAGTCCTTTTTAATTGCATTTAATTGCCGCTTGTCAGCATTTTCAATTTGTTTTTCCAGGCTGACCCTTCTGGTCGCGTCTTGAGTGCTTCGCCGAGCAAGTGCTTCGGGTTTTGATTATTAATTTAGTCATTAATGAGCTTTCGACAGCCGATTAACGTGGCTGATAAGCTCTAGTGATTGCATCAACCACCCATGATCGAGGGCAACTTATTAAGTTCAAAATTTTGCACAACTTGTATATACTATTCTTCTTTTGACTGAGATATTCCTCTTTTTTACTATTAAGGAATATACAATTATTGAACTATGAAATATATTTTAATTATGATGTGAATTTGAAATTGACCGAGCTTTAATATAATATATTTGCAGTCTGCGGTGCTTTCACTTTATGGTTAACGATTTGCTATTTAAATTTGGCGCCATTTCCCAATTTGTATTTTCTCCAAATGCCAAAATTGTTGACAATTGATGTGAGCTAAAACTTGTATATTTATTTTGTGCTAATATGCATTTTGGGATTAGGATGTTTTTTATATGAATATTTAAATCAGCTTTCTTTAGGAATTATTGAAAGGTTACAAGTCGATCTCTATGCACATTCAAATCTATTGAAATTGCCGATTTATTTGCTTTACCGTTCGGATGTTGCAAGTTCGAGTTGAGTAACTTTCTGTTCACTGGTTCTTGGCTATACAAATTATGTTTACAACGACAAATTCACTAAACTAAAACACGCACGATATTAGAGAACTAAACAAATACGATTATCCATGTACTTATATGGATATATGTATTGATAAATGTATCTCTGTGGATTTTGATTGGATTGTTGAGTTGATGTGAGAGATTTGCGTGAAGAACTAAGGCTAACACTTGAGTTTAACTTATGTGAATTGCTGTGCCTGGTCCTTGAACTGTCTAGGAATGCAGGAACCATTGCCACTGACAGGCTAGACCATGGAGATTAGGCCCTTGTTCAGATTATCAAGATGCTCCTTGGCCTTGATGCGCAGCGTGGCAATCGAGTTGCTGCGCATGTCCACTGAAGGCGGCGTTGCGGCTGATGTGCGCTTAATGGCCAGCGAGGAGGGCGGCGGGGGACTCTCTCTGCCGACATCGAGCAGCTCGTTGGTGCACTTTTCTAGGCCGCCGGCGCCGTTGCTGCAGCTGCCGCCATCCGCATCGCTGCAGTCGCGCAGATCGCCATTGGAGTCGGCATTGGATATGCTGAGGTTTTGCGGTGACATACACACATCCGGGCCGCTGCACTCCAGCGACGACGACGAGGACGAGGCGGTCGAGCATGCTGTTGTCGTGGCTGGCGTCGTGCCGGTCGGCAAGGGCGTCAGGCTGGCCACGTTTCCATGATGTGGCGACAGCGAGGTCGCGTGCGGTGACATGCGTGACAGGTGCGGCGAGAGATGCGACAACGGCACCGCATGATGGCCGGCATGTGCATGTGCATGTGGATGCGGCGGCGGTGGCGGTGGTGGCCCGGTGGGTGGCGGCGCCAGCTGTCCGCTGTGCGGTCCATGCGGTGGTGGCGGCGGCGGCCCATGGTGATGGCCCATGGCAGCCAGGCTGCTCATGGTCAGATTGCCCGGCGCCAAGCTTAGCGGCGGCGTCAGATAGCTGGGGTAAACGGTCTGCGGATGCGAAAGAAAGCCTGCGAAAGCAACAATTAAAAAAAAAACCAAAATTAGTTAAGATCCAATGCTGCCATGTGTAACAATTACCTGGTAGCGCGCTAAGCAGCGGCGGTGACAGCCAAGGATCCACGGGCAAACCGGATGCACCGCAGCCCAAGCGATGCGGCAGCTGCGTAAAGTGCGTCAGGCCCAGACGCAGGCTTTCCGACTTTTCCTGTCGACGCCACTTGGCGCGTCGGTTCTGAAACCAGACCTGAAAGAGATAAAAAACAAACAAGCGGCATAAGTGTCAGTTAATTAAGCAGCAAAGCGCGCAAAAGCAATTAAATGCGCCACTTGAGCCGAGAAGGCGCCCGCTAATTTAATCAGGCGCAAAATGCGACTGTCTAAACAGCCGACAACAACTACAACAACAACAACACGAAGGTCATCAAACATAATTGGAAAACTGAATGAGCTTAATTACGCGGCCATGACGAGCAGAAGAAGAAGAGACTCAGCGGAGAACGGGCCACAAGACATCAAGTCGAACAAAAAAGCAAAATGGCCGCCCTGCCAAATTGTTAATGAAAGCAGCCGCACACAAAGCAAGAGCGAGATAGATAGCTAAAGAGCGATGCGGCGGCAGAAGTAGAAGAAGAAATGGGCAACCAGAACAGGCAGACAGACAGCTGGACAAACAAAATGGCGTAACAGCAGCAACAACAGCAACAACGGCAGACACAACGATTGACGTGGCCAAAGCTGTTAAGCGGCAAATGCTGTAGAAATAAAATTCAATTAGTGCCCGTAGCTATAATTAGAATTATCGTTACAATGTGTGTGCGTGTGCGTGTGTGTGTGTGAGTGTGAGCGAAACTTTCGAACAGCTCTGCCCAACCAGAGCGCGCAGGCAGAGCGTCTGTCTAATTAAAGCAAAGAGAGCAAAATGCCAGAGCGTGCTGAGCGAGCGAGCGAGAGAGCGCAAGAGTGACGAGCACGAGCATGCAAGCACATGTGAGTGCGAGCGAGCGAGCGTGTACGTTTGGCCGTTTTGCCAAGTGGGAGGCATATTTTGGATTTCCGTTGTGCCGCCGGCTTCGCTGCTGCTGCGCTCAAAGTAATTAAATGCAATTTGCGCAAATTAATAAGAAATTATTTCTGATGGAAATTTCATTACCATTATGTCGTAGCCGTTGTAGTTGTAGTCGCCGTTCTTGTTGTTGTTGTTATTTTTAGTCGTGCTCTGCCACAAAATACATAAACAAGCAGACGTATGCCTCTGTGTGTGTGTGTGTGTGTTGTCTGCTTTCGCTTTGGTTGCTGCGGCTGTTTAATTAAACATAATGGCGCGTAAAATTATTTTCGTTGTCAATTTGACGCACAGCCAGAAACTGATTTGCATTACAAATATGCAGAGCATGCAGCCGACTGCGACTGCGACTGCCTGGGCTCAGAGCTCGACGCCGACTGTTGGGTAAATGTTGTTGGCAAATGCAAACAGCAAGCGTATTGCTGTTGTTGTTGTTGTCCTTCGCTATACGAGTAAATCAACTTGGGCAAGTAATTAAGCCTGATAAGTTGCCCGGGCTGCTGTTTAATTGCCTATTTGGCTAGGTGTACAATATAATTGCTAACAAATACGCTTTCTAATTCAGCTAATATCACAAAAGTGCATATTCAATGCAATTCATGCAATGCGAATAAACAAGGAGCTCCAAGTACAGTATGCCCCCACTCAATGCAACACTTGACGTACACAATATGTATTTGATTGATTTTATTTTAAATTCAATGTGTAGAAAGGGC